GGATTCGGTGCCTTGCTCAAGGGTCTCACCTCAGTCGTGGTATTGAAAGTGGAAGAGAGCACTGGTCATTCATTCCCCCATCAACAATCCCTGCCGATACAGAGACTCAAACCTGTGACCTTTGGGTTACAAGTCTGACTCTCTAACCATTAGGCCATGACTTTCCCCAATGGTGTAGCAAATTGAATATATCAATTAAGATTCCACTGCCCCCTGTGCATACTACTAAGAGAACAATAGGTCAAACATTTATAATTCTAAAATGCTTGAATTGCTCTACTGGAATCTCAGGGCGGTTCTTACACTGCCAGTACTCCAACACTAATCAAAGGTCTATTCCAGGACTTTAATGGGTGACATCTGATCCCCAGTAACCTCAGCAGCAATCCAATGTTCATTGGGATGGAGGCGTAAGTGAGAAAATGAATTAAATAAAGAGGTGATTAGCATGGAGGTGCCAGATTAACGGACACAGGCTGCAGTTTGACTTGTCTTTAGTCTGGTTAAGCCTGGAATGGACTTAAAATGTGCTATATGAGTTTCTTCATACATGAAAATTTAGAAAGTTGCTCTAAATAAACCCCTTTAAACTCTTTGTAAAATCTTTATATTAAATCAAAATCACTCTCACAACAATTAGCCATGCTGAAATACAGACATAACATTTAAGTTATATTGCTTTTATTTATTTATTATTTTATTTTTTTTGTATCTTGAACACTGGGGGTACATATTTTTTGGGGTGGGTAACAAATATATTGGCCCTTTTTGGTTCTCAAATTTAAAAAAAGGCCCAAATTTGAATACATTTTTGAATAAAGTCTTTATTTGTAATAGTTCTTTCCCCTAAATGTGTTAAAGGCCACATATGAAATCATATTTTTGCACAAATGTCAAACATTTTCCCAATATAAGAAAATTTTCATAACGACTAAGCCATCTGGAATGAAGAAAGTGAAGATGATCAACATCATTTATATTGAAAATGATAAGCAGTTGCTGCTTTGTTTATGGTTTGTATATCCGAAGTGCTAGTTCCACTTTCTCTTTGACAAATACAGACTACTGCCACCTGCTGGTACTGAAAAGTATTTCTCTCACACAAGCACAGAATATACATGCTACAGGCTAGTACTTGGTTCTTTTATGTCAGATTGGTATGTCACAACTTAATACAGTGGGGTGGGGTGAAAAAACAACAACAACATAACTACATACACTAAACTAAATGATATACCTAACTACTAAATGACATAACTAAATGATAAAATTTCTTTTAAGCACACACCTGACTGTAACGTGGAGTCGTGACAGCGGAGTAGAGGATCCACATGCAAGGCTTTATTAAAAGCGTAGTCAGACAGGCAGGGTCAAACACCGGCAAAACAGTAAAATCCAAGGAACAGGCAAAAGAGTAATTCAATACACAGGCAATGGTCTGGGCAGGCAGCAAACAATCAAATACAAGGAAACAGTCCAAGACCAAAACACGAAGGCAAGGCAAGGCAACAAGGAACAAGGGTAACACAGGACAACATGGGAACTTTACAGGCTAACAACCATCAGCGATGTGTTTGTGTCTGAGTGGATCTTTTATAGTCTTTCTAATGTGAGGCAGATGTGATCTGGTAAGGAGTGCTGATAAGTCCGGGCAAAGGATTGTGGGAAATGGAGTCCTGAGTAAATGGTAAAAGGATGGAGTGACCTCTGGTGGAGATCATGGGCACTTCAGTGGGTGATCGTGACACTGACACTGACATATCAAGCAGACACTTGGGGGTTTCTTGTCCAAAAGAGTGCATTGAAAAAAAAGACAAACAGTTGAAGAACTAGAATTTATTGTAATGAATCTGAACTTTTTGCAAATTATATTTGCATTGTACTAAATGGTTGTCTTAACCACAACCTAAAAACACACTTGACACACAACAGTACAGCTGCGCATCTCCAAGCAACACACCCAGTGGTGTTTTGTTCCTGATTGAATTTGTTTTTTTTTACAAATCAGTTAAGTTAATGATTCACTGACTCACAAAGGCAGTCACCTGTTTGGTTCCTGAATGATTCAGCTTTTTAACAAATCAGATGAATGAATTCTTACTCAACAAGACAGTCGCCACTTACTGGTGTAACAATATAACCTACATACAGAGTCGCTGAGAAATTTCCACCGCTACAGTACTGTACAGTGTTTCTGCTCGGCTGCCATATTTGCAAAGCCTCGGCTTTTCCAGGCATACAAGACCAAATCCTACCTACCTGAATGGGGAAATTCTGAAATCTCAGAACTGCTTGCCACATTCAGTTAAATAATGCATTTCAAATCAGCAACAGAATCTGACATGAACTGTCCCATAAATGTTGTTTCTCATGTAGAGCTTATTTTTCAGGCTGGACTAGTCAATGCGCATGTGAAGTCTTAATCGTGTGAGCAACCAAGCTCAAGTGTAAATATAATTGTCACTGTTTCTTACATTCTTAGAACTGTTCGGAAACTGGAGCCTCTAGTGGCAGGTGCAGTGATGCAATAACTTTCCCAGATGGATATTGGCTCATATTTAGAGTGGACTTATTCCACTATATTGCATGTTGCACTTTCTCCCATTAGTAACATGAGTGCCCTGTCTTGGTACTTCTAAAGTCTTTGCTGTTATATAAGAACACTTGGAAGGCTGCTCAACCAATCATATTCAAACTGTTGTATAATGTTCTTCATGATTTTTTTAATTCATTTATTTATTTTATATAAATTAAGGTCTAAGCATAAACCATATTCTCTTCACTTCCTCAAATGTTGCATTTGTGGTGGACTTTACTGTTGAGCAACTATGTTTTATATTTGCATGGTCCTCAATTCTTTCAGAAGAAATTTTTTTTTGTTTTTTTTTGTGTCAGTTTGTTTCATGCAACTTTTTAATA